GGGGCCCTCCCCGGGGGTCCGCTGCGGGGAGAAGGGGAGGGGGGGTGGTCCGCGCGGTGGTCCCGCCGCGGGGGTGGCCCCTGGGTCCGGTCCCCGGGCTGGCGGGGATGTCCCCATCAGCAGCCACCCTCCCCACCCACCCGAGACGCGGCGCTTTTAGCAAGGGTTCAATTATTCCCACCCCCGTCAGCGCGCAGGGAAGGGGGATAAAACCCCCCGCAGCCTGTCTGGGGGTCCCAGACCTGGCACCCACTGGCCTGCCCCCACAGCGGGGGGCTCCTGGGCGGCCTGGCATCCCCCAGGGATGCCGTGCCCCACCACGACGCCCCGTGCCAGGCAGGGCTGGGCGCCCAGGGTGGGTGTGCTGTGGCGCAGGGTGTCCCGGGGGGACGTGGGCCAAAGGCAGGTCCTGCTACCCCAAGGGCTGCCGAGCGTTGCGGGGGGCTCTGGGCTTACCTTATGTTTGGGACATTTCAGAGAGAAGCTCTCTTCAGTTAATAAGCAACCTGAAAGGAGAGGAGAAGGCCGTGTCAGGGAGTCCCCGTGCTGTGGGACGGCTGTGCCTGTGCAGCGGGAACAGCATCCTTCCCCAGCCTCCCACCACCATCCGGACTGGCCGCAGCGTTTGTGTGAAGGGTTCAGCTGAGGCCAGCCAAACTCAGGGCACCAGCTGGCACTGCCGGTGCGGGGGGCATTGCCATCCCGGCTGGCAGGGAGCCACGAGCCCACCCTGGCCTTGGGTGGGCTCGAGCGTGCGGAGCAGCTGGTCCCGCGGCCGGCCAGGTTGGAGGGTGCCAGGGGACCCCGTGCCCCTGTCCCCGTGGCCGGGCTCACCTGTGTCGACGGCACACGCGTAGTGGTAGGTGTGAGGACACCCCTTCTGGCAGCAGCCCACAGTGGCTCCCGCTTGTTGGCAGCTCGAGCACTTCTTTAAATGCACCCGGGAATTCGGAGCAGGGAAGGAGAGATGTGGAGAGACAGAGAGACCCCGTCAGATCCCAGCGCAGGAGCAACGCACCACGACGGCCCCGGCCGCAAGGGGAAGGCACCGGCATCCCTGCGCCTCTCCAGCCCCACGCTGCCTCCCCCGGGCAGCATCCTTCCTCCTGTGCCGGGGCACCGCGGGTGACACCGTGCCTCTCGCTCGGCCATCTGCAGCCATGCACGAGGTTTCGACCTGCTGCACCATTCCCCTGGACAGCACCAAGCCCGCAGCCATCCCCCGTGGGGCAGAGGTAAAGGGACATGGCCTGGGACGTGCCATGGCTTGGTGGCAGCGGTGGTGGAGGACCCCCGTGTTCCCCATCTCCTGTCCCGTCCCCAGCAGGTGCTGCAGGGATGGGAGCGCCCGGCCCCGCGGCACGGGCAGGGACAGGGCAGCAGCCTCTGCACAGCCATGCGGCAAGCACGCATGCCTGGGGATGACAGACTGGATGCAGCCAGCCCCAAACCTGGTACCGGGGGGGCTTGCTGGAGGCCCCCTGCCCGGCCTCTGCCGGGTGGCTGTCACCTCCCTCTCCCCAGCACAAAACCCCCATGTCCCCTTGGCGGTCTCCCAGCAGCGTCCTCCCTGTTTCGCTCGCTCGATGTGCCTGTGCTCCTCTCGCCCTGGGAGAGAAGTAGGGCAGGGCCACCCCCTCCCTCCAGCTCCCCTTCCCCTGCTGCCCATCACTCTGGCATCAGGCCACATCGTGCCCATTTTCGTCTCCCATCCTGCCTTTGCCAGGTTGCGTCTGTCCCGCTCCAAGCTGCCCCCTGAGACGCACAGCTGGGCCGGGGGATGCGACCCACCGGGCTCAGCATCCTCATGGTCCTGGGGGTGGCCCTGCTGCCCTCCCAAAACATAACGCCACAAATACGCTTCCATGCCTAAAAGGGGCATTTTAGGGGGCTAATACAGACGCAGCAGCACAAATCTTGCAGGAAGGCAGGGGGGGTTCATGGTGCCTGAACACCCGCCCCGCTCTCCCAGGACGACTCGTCGGGGCCAAGCCTATTTTCATCCCGGCTGGAGGTGCCGCCATGGGAACGGCTTTGGCTGAAGAAGGCCAGCGGGAGATGCCACCCTGGGGTGCTGTGCCGTGCCAGGCGGGCAGCTGAGCTCTTACCAGGTCGGCAGCCGCCTTGACGGCCTCCTGCAGCCCGTAGAGCTTCCCCGCCACCAGGAAAACCCCAGCGGTCCATACGGCACAGGCCTCGTGCAGCCAGTGCTCCTGCGTGTCGCCTGCCGGCTCCTGCGGCGGGGACTCGGCCTTGTGACATTCGTGCCGCCGGGGCTTTTCGGCCGCCTCCTCGCCCTCTGTCCTCTCATCACAGCAGTAGCAGCTCTGCAGCCTGCGAAACATGCCCCGCGGGCTGGAGCGCAGTGCGCTCTGCTTGGCCGCCTCGGCGGGCCCCTCCCGCCGTGCCGCCTTGCTGCCGGCACCGCAGCCGCCCTCCGTCCCTCGGGGTGCCCGCTCGGCTGCGGCGGGCAGGATGGTGTCCTCGCCTGCCCCCTCTGCCCGCGCCTTCTCCTTCAGCCGCGACTTCTTCTTGGGCAGACAGTCCTCGGGGTAGTAGGGCCCGCAGAGGTCCCCCAGGTCCTTATAGTTGGCGGGGTTGCGGCACAGGCAACAAACCAGGCAGGCAGCGCTCAGCGCCTTCGACACCACCGGCCCCATGTGCATGGTGGAGGAGGCGGGCAGGGCTGCCCGCGGTCGCGGCGCCGGTCCAGCCGGTCCCCGTTGTAGCCGGGCCTCCTCGCTGGGTGAGTTGACAACAGTGCAGGCAGTGGTGAACTCGCCGCGTCGCTCCACACGGACGTAGGGAGCAAAGGGGGGGGCCCGACTGTCCGCCCGCAGCCGCTTGCAGGAGATGTACTTCAGCCGGATCTCGGGCTCGGCGGGGGGCCGCAGCGGGGGCTGCTCAGGCCGCCCGCGGCCCGCGTCACACTTTTTTCTGTCCCCGCTTTGCCCTCGCGGTGGGCCGGCCCCTTCCGCTGCCGCTTGGAGTAGCCATTGTAGTTGGAGTGGTTGGCCCGTGGCTTTGGCCCCCGCGCTGGCCCGGCAGTGGGGCGTCCCTCGGGGGGGCCATCGCTGCCCCCTGCCTCCTTCTCCTCGCTCTTTGGTTTCTTGCCCTCCCGTGGCGCCTCCTCCCTGCCGCCTGGGCCAGCCGCACGCTCCCGGGGCAGCGGTGGTGGCGTGGGGCCCAGAGGTGCCTTGGCCATGCCCAGCGCTGCCGCTTTGCCCTTGCGGTTCCTCTTCTTGGGCAGGAGCCCCAGGCTCTTGGCTGCCATGGTGGAGCTTGGCTGGGCCCCCGGGGTCGGTGCACAGGCTTCTCCCTGGCAGCCATCGACAGAGAGCTTCTTCCCGCCGCCCAGCTTCCCCTTCGGTGTTCGGCCGTTGGGGTTTCGGCAGAGGTGCTCAGCCCCCGGGACCGCGGGGGGCCGCTGC